CTAGGTTCATATTTTTACCTCAAGGTGCTTTTCTTTGATTGGACGGGTCACTATGTGGGCATGTTGGAGCAGTGGTTTGCATCAATCTCTCTGCTACGAGTCCAATTTATCTATGGATAAAACCGTCTGCTAAATACCTGTGTTCAACCATTAACTATAGTGTCAAAGATCACATGTGGTGACCAAAAAGATCATTGTCCTGGTCCCTGGGGTCAGAGCAACAGGGAAATTCCAGGGGCCACTCCTGGTGTTACACATAGAGACAGTGAGCCTTCCCTGGGTCAGACTAGTCAGGCTGGGCCTCTGGAGCCCCTCTGGTACTCTGGCTCCAGTGGGTTAACCCTAACCCTCCAGCGGCGGGACCCTCCTAATCCTCTCCCCAGAGACAGTAGAACTTGCCCTAGGTTAGACTTACTAGTCAATTCAGTTCAATTAATTTATTGTCAATTTTCATATGAAGAATTGAAATTTTGTTCCTCACTCCCAACTAGGGATGGGCATGATTAGACGATTAATCGATAATTGATCATTAAGAATTTCATCGATTACATTAATTTTAATCGACAAACCGAATGTAGATTGCTGTGCGTAGTGTGACCAAACAGAGGTCCGTACATGTGTCTCTGCACTCAGAAGGAGCGAGACACGAACAGTCGGTCAGTCTGCAACGTAACGAAACGCAAATGCGTATTTAACGATGACTTGTACAAGAAATTCCATGCTTTCCGTTGCGTTGGGGACAAGTGTGAGTCCATGTGCACAGTGTATAAAGCAGGAACATATGTTTCGGTGTCCAGTGGGAAAAAGCTTTGCCAGGTGAGAGTCACTCAATGTCGATGAGTCCCCACCTCCCACCCCCTGTACGGTGTCCTGGTTTTGACAAACGCAAATATGGTCACACTGACCTGTATTCTACTGAGTCATGTCTTTTAATCCGACAGAAATTGACCGCATCAGTGACACAAGAGCTGTAGTTTTATCTTCGCTGAGTTTATGCAAATTAGCGATGTGGTTTTAAGTTTTGTTTCTGTGAGAGTTGCGCAAAACTGAATTAAACACATTATAATGTCAAACGGGCTGATGTGGCTCTAGAGTGGTTACGGTTTATATGTCGTAAAGTTGAATTTATTTATGCAGATTAGTAGTGCAGATAGTAATAATAATGATGATCATTTTAATATACAAACGTTAATGATTAATCGATAATCAATCGTTAATTCTTCCGACAATCGATGCCCATCCCTACTCCCAACCTTCTCAAATAAAAAAATAAATAAATAAATATATAAATAAATATATAATAATAATAATAATAATAATAATAATAATAATAATAATAATAATAATAATAATAATAATAATAATAAATGGAAAAGTTCAAATGTTCTTCTTTAGGAAGACAGATTCCTGGCTGCCTGGTGGTTAGAGAAGGAAGAGAGTTCAGCATCCGCAGCCTGGTGGATGAAGCTGCTGATGAGTGTGGTGGTTGGGGAATGGACGGTACCTCCTTCTGGAGAGCAGGAGTCTGAACAGATTGTATGACCTGCATCATTCACAATCAGGCTGACTGGCTGACCCCTGGAGCCAGAGCAGCACGGATGCTCCAGGGGCGACTCCTGGTGGCTACACCCAGAGACAGGAAGCCTTCTCCAGGTCAGACTAGTCAGGCTGGGCCTCTGGAATCTCCCTGATACTCTGCCTCTGGTGGGAGAGAGTCCTGGTCCCTACCCAAGGACAGTGAGCTTTCCTGAATTTAGACGAGTCAGGTTAAGTCCCTGGGGCCAGAGCACTGGGGATGCTCAAGGGGCCACTCCTGGTGCTACACCCAGAGACAGGGAGCCTTCCCTGGATGAAATTAGTCAGGCCGGGGTCCTGAAGCTTGCCTGGTAAGCCCCCCCTCCCCAACTAAGGAATGGAGAAGCACCCTGACGAGACAGAAGGTCAGTGTGTGTGCAAAATAAAAGTAGTATGTGTGTGAGTGTGACGGAGCGCCCGTGTTGCCCCTTCATCGCCGGACTGGCGCGTCTTCATCTGGCCCAAGAGCGAGCGGAGTGCTTCCCAAGCTCCGATAGACGGTTTCTACGTAGGACCGCGAGACACACTATTTTCCCCGACATCTGGACTGTTTCCCAGCTAGTGCATTCGAGGGTGCACACTTGACACCTACGCCCGCACTCTTACCTGCAGCAGTCTCTGCGCCGTTCTCTGGTTCGGGGGCCAAACCGAGGCACTTCCTGGTTGTGCTTTAAATAGAGCATAGTGGCGCACTCAAGGGGGACATGTGATCTCGGACTCGACCATTGTGGTCTATTTGGGGTGTTATTTTAGTTTTTTAAGTTATTTAATGGAATTTATGATAACCATATGAGGGGTTCTTTAAGTTATTTTCATTATGTTTATTTCCAAGTTGATTTGTGTTCATCAATACAGTTTTGCTTATGTTAATTCCTTAAAACCCCATTTTTGGTTAATTGGTTAGCCCAGGGGGAGGGGGTATAAAAGGAGGGAGCTCCAGTCATTTTTGGCCTGACTATGTGGGTGCTGGCTTCTGTAAGTGCGATTATTGTAAATATTGTTGTAAATACTTCTTTTTTTTTTTTTTTTTTTTTTTTTTTGTTGGACTCTACCACCTCATTTTTTCACTGTAAATATTCCACTCTGCACTTTGAGCTGTGATGTGAATAAAAACACACTAAGTAAAGTTTTTCGACTGAGCCATCATTTTTTTACATTAATTTCGGACTCACACCTCCCAGAGGTGTGAGTTCTCTACTGTGAGGTGAAAGTCCTTCTGACAGAGGGCTCTGCCAGACGTTCCCAACACACCCTCACAATACGCTTGGACCTGCAGGTCTTTCCAACTTCCTCCTCTGCCAGCGAACCCAACTCACAACCAGGTGGTGCCCTACAGCTCTGCCCCCTCTTCACCTGAGTGTCCAGGACACACGGCCAGAGGTCAGATGACACGTCGATAAAGTCAATCATTGACCTCCGGCCTACGGTGTCCTAGTGCCACGTGCACTGATGGACACTCTTGTGCTCGAACATGGTGCTCATTATGGACAAACCCTGACTAGCACAGAAGTCCAGTAACAAAACACCACTCGGGTTCAGATCAGGGAGGCCGTTCCTCCCAATCACCCCTCTCCAGGTGTCACTGTTGTTGCCCACGTGGGCGTTGAAGTCCCCCAGTAGAGCTACGGAGCCCCAGAGACTCCAAGAAGGCCGGGTACTCTGCATGCTACGTTTTGGGAAATTTAGCCCTGGTGTGATATGTGACTTTGGATAACGTCACACCCAGCATCAAATCCATACATTTGTGTGGGATCAAAGTGCATTGGGGTCACGTCTGTAACTGACAGACTGATGATGTTTCATCTGTATGTAGTAGTAATGTTATATATTTTAGCAGCTGGATGGGTGAAAACTAATTCAAAAAGTTGAGATAACATCATGCATTTATTCTATGTAAAGAGACACGTCTGTGCTCTTGTATATATCCTGGCCTCTACTATCAGTGTTCTGTCCCACCAGTCTCAGTTCTGACCACCTACTCTCCAATGAACTGACAATGTTGGTTGAATTTGTTTAAGACAAAAAGTAATCCAAATGAGACTACATTTTTGAATAGTAATATTAGTAATATAAATATATTACATTTTAGAACTTTAACTGGTTATGGACCCATTTTTCACTCTCATACTTGTGACTGATGGACTTTACAGTGTAAGTGTAAAACTAATGTAACAGGTATAATGTTAAATTAGATTATTATGTTTGTGATGGAGATCTGTTTGTGGGAAGTTGTTACATTTGCGGGTTCATTACATTGAGTTTTTTGTGGGTTTTGTGTGTGCATGTGTGTTTTTGTGTTTGTTTGTTTTTTGTTTGTTTGTTTTTTTTGTTTGTTTTTTGATTATTACGTTTGTGGGACTAACACGTCCCCTTACACTGACCTCTTCAGACGTGGGTACAGGTGAGCAGATCTGCAGAAAGGGTCCTCACAGAGTTTATTTTTGTCCTAGACATGGCAGCCTTGGTCAAAAGTAGTTGATGTAACATGTAAGTAACTTGCTCAAAGTACATGTCGAACCCTCCCTGTGGTTAATGTGCACCTAGTGTAAAACTTACTGTTCTATGTGCAATCACTGTATCATTGTATTGTGTGATTTATTCACCTGTTTTTATGTTTTGAACTTGTTCTGTACAGTGTACATTGATTCTGATGCACCAAACTCAATTTTATGGCTGTTTTATAACAACAAATATTGAAACTGACACTGCCTATGGTATTACTGCTTTGCATCACCAGGAAGTTACTACTCAGACTCAGATGAAAATGGGTATTTCCAAATACAGGCAGTAGGAAATATTATGTTGTAACCTGTTCAATGGAAACATAAGAGCTGCTGTTTATTTTTTGTCAGCATGAATGTGGACCTCTGTGGAAATGACAAAAAGAGGGTGAAGGTAAAGTAAGTGGGAGACAATAGAGGTTAAAAAGTGTTTTAAGTTTTAAATGGATTGGTGCAGTTACAGAAAACCTTCCAAGTGGCTCCCCTGTCCTTCCTAGAGAGAGAGAAAAAGAGAAATCCAGGGAAGAACCACAGTTAAGAACATACCATCTCCCATGGATGGACAGGCAAAAGTAGTTGAAAGTAGAAAATTATGTGACCATTTAGGGTTTTTTGTTTTGTTTTTATGTTTTCCTTAAGAAGGATCTTTCTTATTGTTCTCACAAACCTGCGCACAGTCTCCCAGCAAGTCACACTTTTTTCAACGGAATATATTATGTTTTTGCTGCCAGATTTACAAAAAAATTAAAATGTACATGTGCTTGTGTTGTTTGTTTCTATTTCTAATGCATGCATATTTCTGTTAATAGAAATCTTCTTTATGAATGATAACTGGAAAATTCTTCCCACCACAGAACTCTGTTTTTAGTAAGGGCTGCGTGCTCAGAGAGGCGGTACAGAAGGAGGGAGGAGCAGACACAAGTCATAACACACAAGCTTAGAGCAGCATCAGACTTCACAAGACCTGACAACGAGATGGAACTTAATTTACTGCAGGTCCTGGAATGTGAGCAAGTACTGGAAGTACTTCGCAGAGATAAGCAGCTGAGAGTCATAGAAGAGGACAGAATCAGGTACCTTACATTACAACATCAATCTGTGTCCACAGTACTTAAATTTAAGTGAGAGGGCAGTTATTACGCTAAAGATTTTGACTTTATAGTCAGTCAAATTATGGGTAATCTAAAAATATATATATAAATATTTTTTATAATCATATTTTAACATTTAATTTGTAATATGTGCTATATGTGGAAGTTGGAGTCTCATCTAATTGAATATATGTCTGCTTGCCACAATTCTCTTGAATGATCCTGTAATGTGCTAAAACAACACAATTAAGCAAAAAGATGATCCATCAAAAGTAAACCATATGTTCAATAAAATGTTCATACATCTTTCTACAATGTGATTGTTATTCGAATGTGGCATGTATCATGGATGGCCAGTGAATAAGGGAAAACGACTTATATTGCAGACTGTTGAAGCAGGACTTGCAGGAGGTGCATAGAAAAAGTGCAAAAAGCTCTGGGTGGCAGTATGGTCAAAGGATATGTGCGCGGTGCCAGAGGTCACTGGGAAAGCTCTGGAACAGTGGAGCAGTGTGCCACGGCTGCAGTCACCGAATCTGCCCAAAGTGCCGCGTCAGTGTGACCACCATTGGCTGGAGATGCACTGTCTGCTTTACTTACAGGTAACTAGAGCCAAGATCATGAGACAGTGTTCTCATAAACCAGCCACAAACCACAAAAGCAAGCATGAAAAAGAGCTCAGTCAGACCTGGAACCACATTCACTGTTCTCATGAAACTTATGCAGGGTTGTTCTTCATGAGATCCTGGTGCTAATTTGGATAGAAAGAGCATGGTCAGGCAGGGCACTGACTGTATACAAACAAGTATGTACATTTATATACATATACACATATAGATAGATAGATAGATAGATAGATAGATAGATAGATAGATAGATAGATAGATAGATAGATAGATAGATAGATATAGAGATATACATATACATAGATATTCTTAGATATATATTTCTAGAAGTATGACATAGATTCTTAGAAGTATGACATAGATTCTTAGAAGTATGACATAGATTCTTAGTAGTATAATGTTGATTAGTGCCTGTGTGTTTGCTTTTATCAGAATCAAAATCAAGGTCACAGAGATTACAGATGCATATATATGATGCATGTATTTGCAGAATAAATTCAAGGCACGTGTTGCAGTTGCTGCACTGGGGGTTCCTATTGTGTATACATTTATATAAGTAGACTGGGTTTGTGAGGAAACAAACATATACTTTTAGTTTTTTGCTCTAATTGTCTTAAGTTCTCATTTGCAGAGATGTAAAATTCCGATCTGGAGAGTGGTTCTTGGAGGAAAGGTCAAAGAAATTCCCTGCCACAGGTTATTTGCTTAAATTTTAAATACACATCTGTTGTCAATTATGTTGCCAGTAAATTCTTAATAGTATTATTTAAAAGTTAAGTTGCTTATGCCATCTGAAAAATGACATTTCATTTTTAATTGATTTCCTATTTAATTAATTGTCCTCAACATATGGGTTGTGAGTACATATATATGTGTGTGTGTGTGTGTATATATATATATATATATATATATATATATATATATATATATATATATATATATATATATATATATATATATATATATATATATATATATATATATATATATATATATATATATATATATGGCCAGCATGTTGTTAAATAGTTTTTATTTAACAACACAGCCTATTTCCTCTAGACTTCTTGTAGTGGAACATGCAGATGCACATAGTATTACAATATGTGTAATCCGTCAGTGATCCAGCCAGAGGTGTGTCAACTCCACAAAGGTTTTGATGTAATGTAATTAGAAAACATTAAATTCAGTCAATTAAACTAAGGTGTGAACTGTAACCTAAATCTTATTATACATAATTCTTTATGCCCCTAACAAGTCCTTAACATGTAGCACATTGGTACATTGTATATTGGTTGCACATTGGTACCTGTAGGTGTCCTTTATAGAAAACAGGTAAATGAAATAAAATAAAACACTTTTACCAGATTATAATCACCTATCATATAAAAATGTTTTTAGTTAAATCATTTATTTGAGATGCTATTATGCTATTGAGCTGTTTGATTTAATGGTAGTCTACTTCACATGTTCAGTTGAGGTTCACTTTTTATTGATTTATTTTGTAATATTAGAAATGTAACATTTCAAAGTTAAAATTACAAGTTCAAATGATTAATATTTACATTAAAGATCCAAACCCAAACCATTTTCCTAACCTAAACCACTAAGTATTTTCAAGTGTAGTCTTAATCAAATGATCAAACCAAAGCAAAGCTGTTAAAACAGCAGAAAAAGGGGATTTTACTTTGTCTATCAGTTTCATTCCTATCCCTTTCTTCTATATCCCTCTATTTTCCCCCTGCAATATTCCCATAATTTTCTTTACAACTGCAGGCAAAAATGAGAGTGTAGGAGAGAGGCTGCTGAGGACCTATGGCGTGTTAAGGTAATCCTGGAGTCTTTATGTCACATTTAAGTTCATTTAGAGGCTGTGATTTTCTCTTGTGCATTTTTACAGTCATATAGCCATTGTGCCACCAACACCTCCTCCTCATTTGGATTGTGCTTTCCTGAGCAAGTCGGGGGTATGCCAGTAATACAACAATTATATTGAACTGCATTATTTATCACTGCAATGCAAAACAATTTAGTATAATTATAATATAATATAATAAATATAAAGCACAATTAAGTGTAATGCCATGTGTGATACATTCTGTTGACAGAATTCGCAAAACTGTAAACCACTGAGAAGCTCCATGGAGGATTTAATGCTTTCTGTTACCAGTCATATCAGAAGTAAGTAGATGTAACACAGGCCTTGCACTTCAAAAAGAGATTATTATCTCAGCAACATATGCCATTCAAATCTACTGAGATTATATATATGCATGTGTGCGTGTGTGTAAACTTGTGTTGATTAATGCCATTGTATTAATGTACTGCAGAGAAATCAACATCAGAAAATGATGTGAGGTATGATCACCTTAAAGTGGAAAACATCAAGAAATCATCTCATCTGAATATTCAGAAAAGTTTATCAGACACGGATATCAGAAGAAGTCTCAAAGTAAGAAAATACAAATATACAACATTAGGGAGTGGTGAGTGTAAACCCTGGAAAACTACACTTTTTTCTGGAAAACATATTCAAGCTTTAGTCATCAATTGTCAATGTTTCATAAATTTGTCAAATATTTGCATGAAAAGGTAAACTTTATAAATAAAACCTAAAAATCATACCTTTTCAAAATCATGAGTTAGCTTCATCTGACAAATACATATGAACATGTCATTTCTACTTTTAACCATTCCATCAGTCTGTAGATCAAAATGCACTATTGAACTGGAAATGTCTTTATCACTTTGAATGATTATATGGTTTTCTTTTTCAGCTTTTCAAAGTTCCCAGCCTTCCAAATGTGTTTAAGAGAAGCAGAGAGAGTGACCCAGAGAGCTGGTCCACAGGAGCAGAAGACACCACCTCCTTCACTTCAGTGAGTTTGAGAACATTCTGACTTCCTGTCATGTTACACAAGACAGATAACAGATCTGAACCAGTGACAGGGCTGTTGCAACACAAGTTTAGATTAGAGTCTTTGGTTACTGTAGAAAGTGCACATGAAAGGACAAATGAAGATGAAGATTCCATTCAAACTGCATGGTCAATTTATGCACAAGTAACATGATCGTCTGACAGTTAACTGAACATCTCATTTCAGTGTTCATTTAACAAAATTAAGGCATTTAATGTTTTAAGTGTAAGGGTGTGTGTGTGTGTGTGTGTGTGTGTGTATGTGTGTGTGTGTGTGTGTATATATGTGTGTATGTGTGTGTTTTATAGTGTGGACTTGATTTGTTTAGTTTAATCTTGTGCAGTATTTTTTGCAACATTTCTGAAAAAATCACAGTTTTAGGATTAAGTTTAGGTACCACTCAAAGTTCTCTCCTGATTTGGAACTTTCTTTTTCACTCTAAATAAATAAAAGCACTTGACTTAATAAAATAAAAATAAATATTTGTCTTTGATGTTGCCATTAATGGATTAACCAGTAAATGTGATCAATCAAAGGGGGGTGGGGTGGGGGGTAATGGAAACTTATTTACTCAGAGCTGAATGTAAATTGTGTGACTATTAATGTAATTAAGGATTTAAGTTAATGTAATTAACTTTTTTTTGTCCAAAAAAAAAAAATTGAACATTGAAATCAACAATGAAAAATAACATACGACTTCTAGAGCTTCAAAGATATATGATAAATTAAATGTTTCATGTTCATTAGTTGGCACATAGCAGCATTCCAAACTTAAATCTCACACATTTGTTTTCCTTGGTTGTTTCAGGGCAGCTGTGGCAGCGTGAGCACAGACTGTGGACCCATGGATGCCCTCAGTGCAGTAGGAGAACTGGAGCTGGCTGTGGCCTATGACAACACAACATCCTGTTTGGAGATTACTGTGGGCGCCTGTCGAAACCTCATGTGTGGAGACTCCAAAAAGAAGAAATCTAACGTGTACGCACTTCCCTCCAACACTAAGGGTGTAACTTTGGCTTTAGGACCCATGAAGACATTTTAGTTTACATTATTCATTTTGCTTGCATTTTTATCTTTTAATGTAATTTCATGATAATTTTGTATCATGATAGTATCAATAATTGTTCAGTATCCTACCTGAACATTAGGATTGGTCATTAATTCTGTTTGCACAATATACAGACAACAGGACCAAGTCTAACCAGAGGATAAAACAGCAGTATTGAAGTTAGCTTTAACAAAACCTTAGTTCATCATTACTTCATTATGACCCCCTTAACACACGTTTGAATGCTATTAGTACTAACCAGATCCATTTTAACTTCTGCAAGCTTCTGTGTCACATTTCAATTCAGAATTTTGTATTATTATTTTTTTGTCTCTACCTTAATGCAATTTTTTTTCTTGTGATGGTGCTGACACACCATTTTCTTTATTTTTGGAATTTGGTTCTATAACTATAATACGTTTTTTTAAAGATAATAAACTATAGATTTTTGGAAAGCAGTCACATATTCCTACTTCATGGTTAGCATCCCTGGTCACTATGGGCACTGTGCTTCGCCCCAGTAGAAGCATTGTTTTGTGATATTAATAGCCCCTTCGCCATCTTCTGGCATTCAGGCCTAATAATAATAATAATTTGTACACTTTTAATTGACAGGTATGTCCAGGTGTACATCCGCCCAGGGAAGCATGCTAAATTAAAAACAACAGTGAAGAAAAGTAGCACCAATCCAGTCTACAGAGAGGTTTTAAAGGTCCATTTCTGAACATGTATCCATATTTTTATCTGCTTGTAGTGTTTGTATAGTGTTTTCTTTACTAGGGTTTATGTGCTTGTTTACAGCATCACATAGAACACTCCATGTTGTTTGGGAAGCATCTGCAGGCCTGTGTTTTCAACGCTGGAAGCCTGAGGAGGAAAGCATTTTTGGGGGAAGTTCTGATTCCTCTGGATGGGTGGGCTTCAAGTAGGTCCATCGAGGGCTTCCAGTGGTATCCTCTGTGTACAAAGGTGAGCTTACTTTTTACTAATATTTATGACAATATCAGATGACATTTTGTCCAACTCAAGGTTTAGTATGAATGTAAGGTGAACTGTAAGAAATTTAAGTGGACCTAAACAAGAAATCCAGTGTTTTCATGACTAAACTGTAGATATGGTTGAAAGACAATGGGCCTCATTCATGAAGCATTTTTACAAATTTGTATTTAAGGTGTTTTTACAAACATTTCTGGAATTCAAAAATGTTCTTCTGGAAGCTACTGTTTAAGATATTATTACTCTGATAATGCAACAAAAAATTCCCCCATTATATATATATATATATATATATATATATATATATATATATATATATATATATATATATATATATATATATATATATATATATATATATATATATATATATATATAAAATGGGGGAATTTTTTAAGTCTTTATAAGTCTTTTAAATCTTTTTTCTATAATCATATTACTATGTGATCCATGAGTTGTTTTCTAGAATCTGTGTCTATTGGCTCTAACAGACTTTGTCCAGGCTGCAGTGAGCCTCAGTCTGTCCCAGCTCCAGTGCCTCCATATGGGGCTTTGTTACAGCCCTGCGCCTGGTCACCGCACTGGACTCAACACCTCCACAGCCCCCTGAAATGGTGTGACTGTTCATATTAAAAGGATTAAAGCAAATTAAAGTATTATATTTTAAATTATTTTTTAAAAACATAAAAAACATTGAACATTGAAATCAACAATGAAAAACAACATAGTCCCCCATGACCAGAGCGCTACAGCTGATTACAAACACCTTTGAGATGCAGATCTTCTGTCCACCACCAGGGGTCATGCTTAACTAATATTTCAATATTTATCCTACATCATTTTTGTGAGAGAACTGGTAGTTTTTTCACCTGATTGTGATGCACATAACATACATGTATCCCTGTATTTCTGTTTAGAAGTCTGATAACTGGACCTCTGGGTGACTGCCGCTCTCTGAAACCTCAGCACTATCTGAAATAACTTTGAGTTCAGACTGATCATTGTACAATCCAAGACAGCCCTTCATGCAGAGAAGACCAGACCCTGAATGCTCCACCAGAACCCTCACCCTCACGTGACTCACCTCCATCCACATGTCCTCATTTGTCATTAGCTCATTGCAAAAGGTATTAGTAATAGTAAAGCATGTCGACGCTAAAAATAAAGATAAAGGTCAGTGAGACGATCACTGAAATGAATTACTCTCTGTATCAGCCACTGATGAGCACCTGGACTCACCCCTTTGAGGGTTATGTTTTTACTGCTCTTCCTTTGTTCATATGGAATCGTATGATTCTAAGATGACAAACACATTGAAAGTTAACTTATAACTCTTATATGCCTATATTGTCTGTATAGAATAAAGAATTATTTAAATCTAATAAGTGAATTATTCTCAATATATGGAGAGTTAAAAGTGGTCACTTTGCTCCTGTATGTAATAGCCTCTTGAAGTTGTTCCCCCTGTGTGCACTCACTCGTAGCACTCAACTTTATTGAGTAGGAAGTGGTTTACTCCTCTCTCTCTCTCCCTCTGTCTCTCTCTCTCTCTCTCTCTCTGTCTCTCTCTCTGTCTCTCTCTCTCTCTGTCTCTCTGTCTCTCTCTCTCTGTCTCTCTCTGTCTCTCTCTCTCTGTCTCTCTCTCTCTCTCTCTGTCTCTCTCTCTCTGTCTCTCTCTCTCTGTCTCTCTCTCTCTCTCTCTCTGTCTCTCTCTCTCTGTCTCTCTCTCTCTCTCTCTCTCTCTCTCTCTCTCTGTCTCTCTCTCTCTGTCTCTCTCTGTCTCTCTCTCTCTCTCTCTCTGTCTCTCTCTCTCTGTCTCTCTCTCCCTCTGTCTCTCTCTGTCTCTGTCTGTCTCTCTCTCTGTCTCTCTCTCTGTCTCTCTCTCCCTCTGTCTCTCTCTCTCTCTCTCTGTCTCTCTCTCTCTCTCTGTCTCTCTCTCTGTCTCTCTCTCTCTCTCTCTCTCTGTCTCTCTCTCTCTCTCTGTCTCTCTCTCTCTTCTCTCTGTCTCTCTCTCTCTCTGAATGGTGACTCTGACTCTCCTGAGTTTCTAGTTTACAATAAGCTCTTTGTGCAGAGGCTGAAAGTCCTCATTCAGTCGCTCTCTCTTTCACTGCACTCTCTCTACCTGTTTTAAAAGAGAAGTTGTATTGACTCAAATGTTCCATCAAACGAGCGGTGAAGTGTAGTATACAGCTTGTTTATTTGAGGGCATTTGTGTTATATCTGTGGTCTCAGCCTCATCAACACATTAAAAGAGAAGGTCTCAGCTTTAAATGTGTTATCTTCCAACTGAGATGCCCTTTTTAAATGCTCATAATTATCTGAAATAACAGAGCAAAGTCCCACTCACTCAACAATGATGTTACACGGCATAAGAATTTGGAGGACATGGGCCTAAGTAACGTGTTTTTATTAATGTCGCTCCCTGATTAAGAAAAAAACACTTCAGTTCATTGCTGTATGTATACGTGTGTATGTTGAACTTTGTGGCAGTTTTTGTTTCATGTGGTTCTGCCATGAAATCTTGGCATGTCTCCAGACGACTTACTAAAGTACCTTAACAACACTACAATCAGTGCATGTAATAAAATGTCTTTATTTTCTAATACACATAAACTTTCCAATAAACCATATGTTAATGTCAAAAGTTGGGAGCAAAATATATAAATCAAAAGTTTTTTTTAAATCCATATCCCACATAAAATATAAATAAGTAACTCAAGCATGATTTTAAACAATAGCAACATATGGTGTAAATTAAGTATTCAAATAGCAATACATTTTTTCAAACGCTAAAAAATAAACTGCTTCTAATATTCATTTAACCAATCACAGCCCTTGCTCCAAAATATTGTCTGCAATTGTACTACTACTACTCTGCAAAATATGTGTAGTAATTTATTCTAGATTTTTAGATTTGTCTTTGACTTAATATGAAAACACAATCATTTTAACTCGCCCAAATATGATGAATTGTACATCTTTATATCGTAAAAATTGTGCAAAATGAAAAAAATAAAACAATAATAATAATAAAAATGAACAAAAACAGTGTAGGGACTTTTAGTTTTTCCCTCTACTAATATTTAAAAGTGCACTTTTCTGGTTGAGGGTCCACCACCTGCTTTGCCTGGAATGTTCCTTAGCGTCTCTCTCCATTAACACAAGCAGGTGATGACCCCACATCAATATGCAGTTACAGTAAGAATGCATGTTTTTCTTTTTTAACAATTGTAATTGAATAAATGCAAGATAAAGTAGCTTGAAGACCATCAGCTAATTTCACTAAAACAATATTTTGCTTAGATGTTTAATAGTTGAGTTTTTTGGTAAATTTGACTTTCTGGTTCAACATGAAATCACATACGTAGAATATTATATTTGTGATTATTCAAACATAGATTTCAACACCGATATTTTGTGAAAACAATGAAAAAAAATTGTGATGGAATTTTCTGCATTGAGGTGTTCTGTTTTAGAACTTACTGCTACTTCATGTATTTTTGTTCTTTTTTCCAACTTTTTTTTTTCCATAAACTGCCACTTGATTGACTACTAGTATAAATACTTACCACAGGTATGACCCCACAAAACCAAGTAATAATTTGAAAAACACAAAAACCTGCCATGTGCACTTGTCATAATATGATATATTCCAGGCAAAGCAACATTTCCACGAATCAATCAAGTTACGGACCCTCCACCAGAAATGTTACTTAATGCACCAGAAACATACTTTGAATAATAAGATGAAATAATGAATTAGATAAGTGGGCACGGAGAATGATTTAAAACAGTTTGGCACTAGAATGTTGGCCATGCCTCATTCTGTGGTACATTCCGCTCTGTTTTCATGAGTCTGTTACAAAGAGAGATGCAGTCACAGGATTATAAGGCCTCAAACTCGTCAATCCTCTGCTTGGTGTTGCCTTGTCGGATCTGCCGCAGCGTCTTGTATTTGTCGCGTCCCGCTCGAAGGTTTTCAAGGTGCAGGATGTCATTTGCTGTTTTCTTGGATTCGTCCCTAGCCTGTGCCAACTCCGAGGTCAAGGCCTGGAAAAAAAGATGCAAGTTTACAATGGCCCTCATGCTCTCGGTCAGGGCTATCAAACTCATACAGGTGAGGGAGACTGACTGACAGGAGCAGCTCAAGTAAATGGGGAAAAAAGTACCATCACACTCTATTCCACGCCACATGTACTACTTCATATTTACTCAAAGGTGAATGGCTTTGTTGCCTATGCTTCTTTGCAGATGTAAAGATTTACCTTGGTGCTCTGATTGAAAATATGGCACACTGAAAGCAAAACAGAGACACACAGGACTGACAAATATTGGTTAAAAGCCTGTGATAAATTACGAATATTACTTTTATTAACTAGCCTATCATACAAAAGTAGGCACGAGCAGCTCGCACAGACACGCGCTCAACGGGGTTATGGGCTTATGGGGTTTTGCACCTTTGGTATTGCACTTCACATCAAAACTCTGCAGTGTTTAATGATTTTAATGTAATTATGATTGGCCCTTGTCTGCCTCTATCTAGAGCACACACAGAGCATTCCGTCCCTTTTTTTTCTAGGCTGATTAGAGATGAGTAAATGTATAGTGAGAACAATTTATCTTGTGGTACTCTGTTGTGCACACTGTTCCTTTGTTGGGTTGCATTAAGATGTTGATTCATTTTATGTGTATTTCAACTTTCATCCAGTTGGTGATGTTAACACAGATTTTTGAATATGCGCCCACATATTAGGTTGTGCTTGTTTTAATAGTTTAATAAATGAAAATGTCAGAATTCAATGTCTAAGGATTACATTATGACTAGGGATGCAACGATATTCGATATTATATCAAATCGTGAGACCAGTGCGTCTGTACAAGCACAGACTGTAGGGGCAGTGTGGGAGGAGCTACGTACTGTCTGTGCTGGAGGGGGCAGTGTGGGAGGAGCTATGTACTGTCTCTGCTGGAGGGGGCAGTGTGGGAGGAGCTACGTACTGTCTCTGCTGGAGGGGGCAGTGTGGGAGGAGCTATGTACTGTCTCTGCTGGAGGGGGCAGTGTGGGAGGAGCTACGTACTGTCTGTGCTGGAGGGGGCAGTGTGGGAGGAGCTATGTACTGTCTCTGCTGGAGGGGGCAGTGTGGGAGGAGCTACGTACTGTCTCTGCTGGATGGGGAAGTGTGGGAGGAGCTACGTACTGTCTGTACTGGAGGGAGCAGTGTGGGAGGAGCTACGTACTGTCTGTACTGGAGGAGGAAGTGTGGGAGGAGCTACGTACTGTCTGTACTGGAGGGGGCAGTGTGGGAGGAGCTACATACTGTCTGTACTGGAGGGGGCAGTGTGGGAGGAGCTACGTACTGTCTGTACTGGAGGGGGCAGTGTGGGAGGAGCTACGTACTGTCTGTACTGGAGGGGGAAGTGTGGGAGGAGCTACGTACTGTTTGTGCTGGAGGGGGAAGTGTGGGAGGAGCTACGCACTGTCTCTGCTGGAGATATTGTGACCCACTTATCGAGATCCATATCGAATGGTGGGAATTGTTGCATATGTCATATGATTATTCCAACATGCCAGACTTCGGGTTTGGGGGGGCATGGTCCCAATACTTTTTGTTCTTATTGTCATGTTGCATCTGTGTACGATTTGGCAAAATTTGGTTTGTCCAAAGTTTTTGTCGGGACATGCCTTTGGTTAGAGTAGATATCTGGCTTTTGCCATGACAGCGCGATGGGAAATGGGGTGTGGCCATCATTGACTTTTTTGATCGAGACCATGTCACGAATATCATAAAAGAAAATTTAGTGTGAAATTTACTTTACATAATTTAATTGCTTAATTTACAATTTGAACTACTTTAGTTAATATGAACTTTTAGAGGAAACATTACATATTGTTTTGAAGTGAGTATGCATTTTTTTAAGGGGGTCCTGTACAGTCTTCAGATAAACAGACAGACAGCTCCAGGGAATAATCAGTAGATCATTCTGTTCAGGGCCAGGGCGTCTACCAACAATTAAGAGTTTGAGTGAAATCAGTCAAACTATTTCCAAATAATCATGTGTCGAAGTTTGATGATGAGCCGCAAAAATAAAGTTTGCATTGTTGTCATGACAACACCATTCAGTCTTTTAATGTCCAAGTTGTCCAGATGATTCACAAGGATTTTTGGGGCACTAGATCAAAAAACCCTAGCAAGAGTACAGGGACAGGAAATGACCCTAAAAGGTCACTTGTTCAATCAAATGTAGGCAAAATTTTTCTAGATTTATGTGATTTCGGAAACCACTTACATATTCTCACGTCGGGTGAGGGCTCTTGGTCAGTGACTGGCACTTTGGGCACTTGCATGACTGTTCTTTGTGTGGTTGTACAATACTAATAGGCACTTTGCCAGCTTCTGGTGCTCGGGCTAATAAGTATCCAAGTGTATTATATATAACTGAATACAGACGACTAAATCTCATCAATCGTCATTGTAAATGAGAAGATGTTCTCAACTGTCTTATCTGGTTTGGATCATGATTGAGCACAGAGAAGAGGAGAGTGAAGACTGCAGCATGTTCATTGTTTATGTCATAATAATGATATTGTCTGAATGTGTTTTTGGAGGCGTGGTTACCTTTAACTGCTCCTGGACCCTCTGGTTTTTCTCGGCCTCTGTGAGCCGCTCCTCTTCGTTGCGGTGCTGCTCGATACCGTCGTTGTGCAGTTGTGCACTGTGGGAGTCCTCATTGTCACTGTTGTCGTCCAGGTGGTCATACATGGGTGGGGGAGGGGGAGGGGGTGGTGTCACCATCACCATATGCAGTTCCTCTCTGGTCTTCATCAGGTCATCCTGTGCAGCTCTGGCCTGCTCACAACATGTCAGGAAATGAGTTCAATAATAACTTTGATAGACCATTTCAAGCAGGTAAAGATGCAGTAAACATACAAGAGTTACATTCAAGTATGAGGTCATCAGATTACTTCTACTGTTTGTAACACTCAAGTTTGTATCCCACTTGATATATTCTACTAGCACGTACTGAAACCAACTGATCAGTTTGATACTAGATTATGTTTTATCACATTTAAGTTATTTTACTCAGTTTATTTACAACTTTTTTTATATTTCGTATGTTAAAATTACTTGAATTGAGAACATTTACCTTGATTTCAGTACCTTTGATTTAATAAAGTAAAAAAAAATAAACCAATGGACATTATTTTAAGACCACATTCGCATTCCATTTACTCTTTTGGCATGTCATATCTACTTAAACCAGGACTAATTAACTAGGTCCACCACTGGCTGGTCTCCATAGAAATCATATTTTTGTGCCTGAAATGTTCCACCATTCAACTTATCTATCTTACATTTATTGAGTTGCTTGGACTTCCATCAATCTAAAAATCACGTGTTCTTATGATGCACGCAGTCGACTCTCCACAGATCTGACCTGAAACTCGGCCTGGAAGAGTCAGCTACTTTTCACCATAAATACAGATACATTTAAAGTCATACTGTATAACATTCAAGGCAAAGCAATAGCATCTCCATAGAGACAAAGAGGTGGTGGACCCTTCCCCAAACCTAAACTCCACCAAATCATACTGAATATTATATATTCAAAAGCATTTCCCTAAGTGTGTTAGAAATCCACACTAATAAATGGGAAATAAAGAGGTGTAGTATTTGTAGAATTCCTTCCATGGATTTTCAATTTAAAATCAAAAATAAAATCTGAAGAATATGTTTGTCTAATTATTTTATTTTTTGCAATTTCATCCAAACTTTAAATACACATAATTAATAAACAGTCACTGTCAATATTTGTGGATAATTTTATAGCACAACTTTCTACACCATAGCGTGGCACGGAGCTGTACTCATCTCCACCTGCGTCCAGGCCACGAAGTGAGTCCCAAAGGTCTCCAAGCATGGCCGAGTCATGGAGGACTTTAATGGTCTGTTATTTTTGTAATGTTTTGATCATTTGTTATTGTGTACTGTATGATCCGCCTTTGGTAAACCAATATGTGCTATATTCTGGCAGATTTACACAGTAATTATAAAGGTTAATAATTATAATAATTATTATTAATTATTATTTATTAATTATAATTAATATGCTCTATTAAAATAATTTTAAAATGACATAAAACACATAAATAAAATGAGTAAAACACTGCAGTTGGATCTTATAGCCAACAAAAAATCAGAGCCAAGGGGTCAAGCAAAGATATGGAGATGTGTGTGAAATCTTTCTTCAACTACTCATCAGGATGATTTATTGCAAATATATTTGTTTTCAAACCAGCTTCCATCTACAGCATGTAAAGTAGTTAACCAAATAGATATATAAACATATTTACACTGGTGTGGTTTGAATTTTGAACAACACTGGATGAAGAAGTAAAACTCTCAGAAGTTGTTCTGATGATTAAAAATTGTCTTTCGTATGAAAAAAGATCTTAACTAATCTTGAGCACAAGGCTGGTTAAGGGGACTGGCACACTGGCACTGGTGCCATCGTGGTCATTTCTCACCTTGAGCTGCCATGAGCTGACCTCTTCTTCTTTGAGTCTCTTGGCCTCTTCCAGAAGTTTAATCTTAGCCGTGCGCTCTGCCAGCTCAGCAGCCTGTGAAATGCAAAGGAAGAAACATTCTCACTGGTGTTTTGATTTGATGACATTATGCTTTCTCTTGCATTTTGTCATAATTTGCTAGTTGTGTTTTTTTTTCTTTAACCCAAATAGCAGTCTAAAATATCTTTTAATGTTTGTAGTTCAATTAATAATCATTCTGATAATTTATTCTTGGAGAAGATGGATTTTTTAAAATTGCCTTTTAACAACAACAATTACAACAATTCCAAATATATTCTAGTTGGAGTCTTAGTAGTGCTCTAAACCAGTGTACTATAGTCTGTGTGGGACATTCCTCTGAGAATCACAACAATGTGAACAACTTGTTTTCCTCAAACTGAACAAACCAGAAGCTCAGAGTGTAACATATGGATCATTTCCATTTCAATTACAACAATTAATTACAATAAGTGTGTGAATCAAGTGCTAAAGAAGTTAAAGAAAAATGAGAAAGAGAAAGGCTTCTTGAGGGAGAATGGTCTTGAATAAGATATACTACTGTACTTAAAAGACTCTATCTACAAAAGATCTACATTTGTTGAGTGCTCCCAAAGGAAACCTCATCACCCTCTGAGCCTCCACAGCTCGTGCCTGACATACACCAGCTGTGGAGGAGCTTGACTTTGCAACTGTCTCTCACTCACCAGTTGCTCCTGGCTCTTCTGTTGGTCCGCTGCCTGTCGGGCAAGCTCCTCTTTGGCCAGCAGCGCAGCCTGTCGTTCACTCTCCAATCGTGCTGCCTCCTCTTCCACCCTCCTGCGCTCCTGCTCAAGGGCCATAGCTCGCTGCATCTGGTCCTGGAGATCTGAACCACACACAAGCACACAATGAATACATTATTTTACAATATTACAAAAATGGATTGTTAATAAGATATTTTTAAGTGGACCTTTTCATGTCTAGTAATGATTTGATTCAACTGGGGCTAAAATCACCATGGAATATTTATAAAGGCACAGCTTTCATGTAAATAAAATAATAAAAAGTTAGAAGATCGGTATTGGGATGAGATCAGACCAGATCAGTATCAGCAATTGCAAACATTAAAAATAAAAGAACTATTGGATCGGAAGCCAAAAAATCTGGATCGGGATCTGGATCATCTCTACTGGGGTATTCTTTCCTCATTCGTCTACTCTGATAAAAGCCTGAAGGCATTCCACTGCACAGGCCTACAGACAGACAGGACAACATTCAAATGTGTCCTGTTGTTGTAATTGAAATGTGGACTCCATCACTTAGAAGCTTCAGAGACACAAATGATTGTCTCTCACATGTGGATGATCATGATTTCATTGTTATGATCTACTGCATTCAGTGTGAAAATTAAACTTCCACATTCATTTGATTGAGGAAACACACTTTCTCACTTTTACATACTACATTTGCCAAACAGTGACTATAAGTTAGTTATTTTTTAGGAAACTGAACTACAAAGTGAAATGTTTTCATTACTTGACATGATGTAACTGTTTCCTGAAGTCTGACTACAGTCCTGACACTTTATTTTGGTTTACCTCATATGAATCAAGTACTAGCTGATAAAAATATTTTTTTAAGAGCTGTGCACCATAGTTTACGCAGGATTATGTTCATCATGATTGTGAGAATTTGCTAAAATGTAAAACCCCATATTATATAATATTGGTATGTTTTGATCATATTCATTTGAATTCAAAGATCAGATCTTGATTCAGTTTTGGTGATTCAGAATAGGCCATTTTCAACCATTATTAATGGTCAGCAGATTAATGTTTATTGATTGTTTATTAGAAATTAGTTATTGGGCAAGACACTTCGCCCTACAGCCTGTGTTAAGGATCTTTGGTGATGGCTCATGCACCTCAGGGCACCTCTGGTGCAGAGGGGGCTGACCATCTCCAGCTACTACTAAAAAATTACTTTGTCAACCCTCACGTGTTTTTTTAACAGATTTGACATGGAAACATGGAACGTGCAGAGTATAAATCAGCCTCAGTAAGGACATTGTCTTTGGAGGTTGTGTAAGGACCCTCACAACCACCGCTAGGGCACAGTGACCTACAAATATGTGCTTTAATAACATAGCTTTTATTCCAAAATGCTTTAAATAGAACATCGTATCAGAACAGTGCAGTTTTTATCAAAAGGCTGTTATCTTTAAAGATCTGAAACAAAGGATAGTGTAATGTTTTATCATATTTTGTAATACCTTCTTGCAAACCTGAAATGTGTTTGTTTTGATGTCATAAGTTTTTGAAAGTGAGAAACAAGAACTCAACATTCACTGCAGCAGCTAAAAATTGATTGTCAGACAACAAGCATACTTGGAGTGCATGTAAACGCAGTGACTTTTGGATGAGCCTGTTGCCAGGGCTTTTGTCACCTTTCTCTGCCTTCTTGGTCTTCTCCTCCACCTGGTACAGCCTCATCTCCAGCTGCTGTTTCTCTCTCTCCATCTGCTCCTTCTCCCTCTCGATGGCCTCGCGTTTTTTCTTCTCACTCTCAAACTGAGCTCTGTAGATAACACACAGACTGTAGTCACACAACAAAGGGCTACAGAAATACCACAGGTGATAAACAGTGGGCACACAACAGCACACAGGGCCATGGAGTGCAATCAAGTCACACACAAAGATATCTCTAAACACAAAGATATCTCTAAACACAGTCCTACAGCCGCCACAAAAGCTTCAGCTAAAGCGTGACCCCCAGTTACAGCATAGGTACAAAATGTAAATGTTTAGTCTAGATTCTTATGAATGTCACCCAAAAAATAAATGGACAGATCAACAATTCTGAACAAATAATATAAAATCTGTATAAAAAGAAAAACTGGTTTAGTGTATTTCTTATATTGTTTTTCTCATATATTATATTTGTATAATGGATGTATTCACGACAACAAGACATTAATTATAAATGTAGAATAATATACTGAACTCACGTCTTCTCCTTGGCATTTAGTGCTACCTAGTCAGGTTATCTTGGTGTTTTTATTGTAGTTTTCACATGTTATCTCTCTATATGTATATGTATATGTATATGTATGTATAAGTATATGTATATGTATATGTATGTATATGTATATTTATATGTATATGTATGTGTATATGTAAGTGTTTCTTCTGTTTTGTTGACTTGTATGTGAAGCACTTTGATCAGCTGAAGTAGTTATAAATGTGCTATATACATAAACTTGAATTGAATTGAATGTAGAAATGATTGGAAATATAAAATTCATCATTATTTCATGAATGTATTGAATTTATTGTAAGGCATCTGCAAATGTGTTTTTCCCAGACAATGCAGCAGTCTGTAGTGGTTTTCACTGGATCTAGAATACACACTTGTTCAATACTTTACAAAGATGAGACTCTGGTCACTGGTAAATATCCCCATTTTCAAAATTATAAATTGATTTTACGTGATGTCTCCTTTAAGGCTGAATGAATAGGCTGTTGCTCTTGCCAGCTGCCATCAGTCTATTTGAACAGCTGACGGAGACACTTCACCGAAAGCAGTGAAAAGTACCTACTCCTGGTCAGAGCACACTGGAACTAGTGCACAGGAGCTGCCCTTCACTTCTTTTACTCTGGCTTGAGCTTTTTTGTAGTTTCTTTAATAGAAAAAGGCCCAACCTCTCCAGCTGTCTTTGCTGCTTCTTCCCGCGCCTGGGCCTTCATCTGCTGCACTTCGATGCTGTCCGGCTTCCTCCTCCTCATGTACAGCTCGTGGTTTCCCATACACAGTTGCAGAATGCGCTTGTTTATGCGCAGACGTGGGGCAAAAAAAACAAAGTCCTGCAAAAAACAAGTTGACACAGTTAATAGATCGAGTATTAGAGAGAAGAGAGTATTCAAAATCAGATACTCAGTTGAACAGGTGTCAATACTAAAAAGTCACATTCACAGGACACAAATGAACCCTTCCTGAATGTCTTTAGAATGAAATGGAGCTGTATGAGAACAAGTAGAAGAGCATAAACATAAACTATATGCCCATGAACACTATGAAACCTACCGACCACTGAGGGATTACACACATACAGGATAAGGACACATGGGAATAGAAAAGAAAGTACTATGATTTAATATTGAAAATCACATTCTATTGTCTAAATAAAGCGTACTTTAATTGTTTTTGTGGTATCAGAATCAGTGTTGAGTGTCTATCCCTTAGTATTGAAATTGAGTTTAAAAGTTTTGATTGTTGCTCCTTTGGACTCGGGGGACAGTGCTTCAGATAACCAGAGCAACATTCAAGAGTTCTGTTGTATTAAGCCGGTGGACATGTGCATCAACTGTCACACTGCATCATCAATGACATCTAAAAGTGTAGTGTCTCATTTGTATCTTAGTAACTCTTAGGGTTAGAGTTAGTGTTAATGTTAGGGAGATCACATTACTCACTGGAGACTTCTTGTCAATAGGTTTGATAATGAACTTCTTGTCATTGAAGGAAATATTTCTGATCTCACTCCAGGGAAATCCAATCTTTGGAGTTAACCTGAAGAAGTAAGGAAGACAAATGTTAAACACAGCAGGAGGGAAAAATATAAGACCATCCAAATTCATCTTTCACACCAAAGAATGTCACAACATGAAATTGTATTGTTCAAATCACTGACCCAATAACCAAACATTTATGAACAGTGGATCTGATTGTCTAATAGACCTCCATTCCTCTAGTATGTGGCCTGCTTTATGAATCAATTTAGGCTCACTTTGCCTATGACATGTTAGACCACAATTTTTTAATAAAAACTGTTATATTTAAGATTTTTTTTTTCTCCCCAGTTTGGCAGTTTTTTAGGTTTAAAATTGTACTTCCTGGTTGGAAATCATGACATCACACCAGGGAATTCCACGTTACCTAGCAACCCCCCTGAACCAAAACAAAATTGTAAGAAAACACCAAAAAGTTCTTGTGTGCCCAAGTTTGGGACAAAATTCTCCGTAGTGTAATGTCACATTATTCAGTTCTCTACTTCCTACAATTTTCAACTTTTTCAACTTTTGCTTCTTGATTGGTGCAAAACTGTAATACTATCAGACACTTTCATTTTTCTTTGTCAAATTTACACTTATTTTTAGTTCTTGTGATCCTATTAAAAGACAATAAATCCACTTTCATTATGTCATTTTATTTTTTACTTAATTTATCAATGGCACACAATTGCAGAGAGATTATGTTTTTCCCTTTTGAGAGGTTATACTGCTATAGTATTACTTTTACTTTAATTTTCAATCAGCTCTTATTTTGGCAATATACAATTCTAACTTTTATATTATTATTATTATTATTAGTAGTAGTAGTAGTAGTAATAGTAGTAGTAGTAGTAGTAGTAGTAGTAGCAGTAGTAGTAGTAGTACTAGTAGTAGTAGTAGTAGTAGTAGTAGTAGCAGAAGTAGTAGTAGTACTAGTAGTAGTAGCAGTAATAATAGTAGTAGCTTTTTAGTACACGTTATCATTATTGCAAAGAAGCTCTAATTCACCAAAACCAATTCCTAGTTTCAGTCTCTAAAACTCAGTTCATTGACAATGGCATTAAACGAAACAGTGATTCTGAAATAGTAGTAGTAAGACTGTAATGGTAGCAATTACACTGAAACTATGCAACGCAGCTTGTTAACGGGGTGTGGTATTGTGGGATAGTGCCAGGTGAGGAGACTACAGCTTCACACTGAGAGTGTTGTAAGGGAGAGCAGTGAAGTGAAACTGCACTGCCTAAACTGGAAGAACACAAGTGACCCTGACACACGCCCCAGGAATGACAGAGAAATGTACGTAGGCGAGAGGAATCAGGAATCTGAAATATGCATTCACAATTTGAGGTGACAATATTTAAAACCATACGTTTTTTTTTTACACATCACAGGAGACATAAGGATGTTAATTTGTGCATGATCAATCATCAATCCAAGGTTATTTTTGTTCTTAATGAAATCAAAGAATGATCGTCCTGCTTTGTGCTGTAGAGGAGTTTGCCTGTGTTCCACGCAGCTGTCTGCACCCACAACATGCTGTCAGCCCAATGCAAAGAGAACACACATGTCAACCTCTGACTGTGGCTCATCATGTCACTCAGTCTCACAGGCATGTTCAACAAGAAGCAACATTCTGAGCTGCACGTGTGCACAAAGCATGAAACTCCCAGATAAACCTATATCATTATATAATAATCAAGTGAGCAAAAATCATATATATATATATATGTGTGTGTGTGTGTGTGTGTGTGTGTGTGTGTGTGTGTGTGTGTGTATATGTGTATATATATATATATATATATATATATATATATATATATATATATATATATATATATATATATACTTATATTATTTATTTTTTTGGTAAATTAGCAATTATACCACCAAAACCGTGCATGTTTAAATACAGGTTTACATTAGCCAATGACATGAACAGTGTTTTGATTGGAGTTCCATTGGGTTTGGAGTGACCCTTTGACAGTCAGGCCATTGCCCTGTTATGAGAGAGCAGCTTTTAAACTGCAGAGTCAGTAGAATAATTTGAAAGTTATTGAGTTAATAATTGCATTTAAATTAATTTTGTAATATATTTTGTTGCACGGGCCAATCAGAGTCTCTAGTCTGAATACTGAAATACCTTCACATTGAACTACATTTTAATATAGTGTCAAAACATGGAAAACAGTACACACACTGCTCTGGAGATCATTAACCTCAGAAAACGACAGTGCACTTCACACAGCATTCTCCTAGAAACAACACACCTTTCCACTACGCTTCTTAAAATAGGTTTCAATTTCTTAGTTCTCACTATATATATATATATATATATATATATATATATATATATATATACACAGTTCCATAGTTGGAATTATACACAATTACAAGTACAGGTTTAACAATAAAAAGTCATTCTGATCAAATTGGACTGGGTGCCAAGTTGGGCAATGACAGGTGCCGTGAAGGTACCAAGGGAGGCTGGCTGCTGACACCTGTACAGATCTGTGCTCTACATTACACTGGCTCCTGTTGCTTCACACAGTTTGGTGGTGATCAGCTGAATCGTTACTAAAATAAAAAAAATTTGATTTGAAAAAATAACAAAGTAAGCTCCTTATTACTCAAAATATTACATCCAACATTGCTCATTACAACAATAAAAAATAATCTTGATACACTCAGTCAATCTTGATACAAGCCAGAACAAACCTGTCGTCTTTCTCATAGATGTTCAGTCCCAGAGCGTCCACTCCCAGCCACAGCTCAGTGCCTTTCTTATTCTTTATGTCAAAGTAGTTGACACCATACATCTCCAGATCTTGAGCAATCTTCAGGTACTCCAACATGGCGTCTTCCCTAGAGAAAGCGAGGATCAGTCAGACTTATTTTGTACATGGAATAATATGGATATTAATGTGTAAAATTATATATAAGCATTAGACAGGTTTGGCATCATAGATATGAAATTAAATGAACACTGTGGTGTCTCCTACATTTACCCAATAACAATATCCAGGTTTTTTAAACTAATAGTAATGTGAATGTTTTAAATATGCTTTCCCCCCCAGATATTTCATTTTCATGCTGTCATATTCATGTCTAATGCTCTCTCAGACTTTCTAGCAATTACTTGTTCCATTCCAAATCATATTTATAATATGTAAGTACTGTTGGTGTGGTCCACTGACTTAAGCATGCAGCGGTGCTCCTCATGCCACACCTGAATCCTTTCCTCCCACTGATCTTTGGACAGTTTGTGCTGCTCCATCACTCTACAAAACAAGACAAAACAAGACAAAAACAAAGCCAAGTTACAAGTCAGATTTGTGGAGAGGCTCACAGTTAAGTTCAGACTGCAGCAGCAATAAACACACTGGATCCCACTAGTTGGACGCCTTTGCATTTCAGCTCAGTCGCCCCCGACGCACGTCTTGGATGCTGTGGACAATGTCAAAGAAAAATACTACAGACCCACATCTGCTGCAGTCTACGAATGCCTTGTTTTCCTGGTCCTGCATGGTACATTTACTTGTCATGGTGTTTGTGGCTCTTCGGTCTTTCTTCTCCTTCTTCCGGAAAATGACGTCACTTTCATGTCATTGGAGAGTATTCCCTCATTGTTTGACGCAATGCTACAATACAAAACTTTTTAAACTCAGCCATTGAATGCCTTGGCGTCAGATTCCGTCCACATAGACTTTTCATATAAATATGAAAGGGTGGAGCGTCAGTCTGAAGAATGCACATCTTCCATGTTTTTTTAGACATAGAGATAAGTTTAATGCCATACTTTGAATTACTTCAGTCAAAGCAATAGAATCATGTGGCATACCTTGCACCAGAAAAGTTCCATGGTGCCTTAAAGCTCCTGTGTTACACCATTTTCTGATCTATGATGTAGTTTCTTCATCACAAACAAACTGGAGTTGTGTTTGTTTCATTCACACATGTTTAACACACAAACCTGCACATTTCAGCTGTTTTCTACTCTCAAACTGAAAGCACTCAGTTCCACGTTGTGATGTCATGCTGTAATACAGGAAATGCTCCACTGTGTTTTTAAACTCCATACGCCCTCACTGGAATCATTTATTGAGAACTAGCTCTGGTGGCACGGTGGCTGAGTGGCTAGCACTCATGCCTCACAGCAAGAAGGTTCCGGGTTCGATCCCCAGGTCACCCGGGCCTTTCTGTGTGGAGTTTGCATGTTTCTCCCCGTGTCTGGATGGGTTTCCTCCGGGCACTCCGGTTTCCCCCATCAACCCAAAACATGCTACAGGTCTCCATGAACAGTTGATAGTCAAGGTCAGTTAAATACAATCAATCAATGAATCTGTCCAGGGACTACAGGTGGAAATTAGCACTGATGCTACAACCTGATGTACAATGCATCTCTCCTGTTAAGGTAAAATGCAAAAATTGTGTGCTGTCCCTGTCTCAAATAAATAAACAAAATAAAAATAAATAAATAAAAAACATCACAACGTGGAACAGGGCATTCTGAGCTTTTGAGCTGTAGAGAGATTAATAATGCAGACTTGCTCATGTGTGAATGAAACACAACATAATTTCAGATATGTTTTGATGAGGTAACAACATTCTTTCTTGGCTAAAAGCTCTCAAGAATCAATTTTTGAGTAATATAGGACCTTTAACAGTATCAAAAGAGCACAAGCTGAAAGTGGGATCTCAAAGTCAACAGCACCAATCTGACCTGTGTGGCAGCAGGCGCTCGCTCAGCAGGTAGCCTGGCTTGTGTACTTCCTTGGTGTAGTCTCCAAACTTGGCCTGGACAGAGTAGGAGGCCAGCAGTACGGCGGTTTCTGGAGGGCAGTAGATCTGGTCACTAAGAATGCCTTCTTTGATCTGAAGAAAGAACAGCTTCTGCGTGATGTCCTGGATCAGGTCCTCAGACACGTCTTCAGGGAAGAACTTGGCCAGGAACTTAAACTGCAGAGGGTTCTCCTTCTTTACATCCTGAGATGTGACCTGCAAGACGAGCACACACAGATTTAACATGAATACAAAATATGAAAGAACAAGGTAGAACTTAAAGGGCACTATGTATGTTTTCAGGTGAAGGTGGATAAGAGTTGGAAACATTTTGTCCTGAAATTATCCAATAAAGCATAACACTTTTCAGTATGTATCTCGGATGCTTTCTTCTTTCTTTCTTTTCTTTTCTCTTAATTAAACCTATAATTAAACGAGCTCATGTTTTATATCATTTTATATGAAAATACATGGAAACACAAGTCAAGTATTTAGAATATCCATAAAATATCGTCTTACCTTTTTGTTCAGTTTTAGCCATGTGGGATATCCTTTACCATCCATGTACTGAAGTCCAAAGTACCACACTTCACGCAGGCCAATGGTTTTCACCACCTGCACACATCAAGAAGAAAACATCTTGATATGGTTTAATGTTATTTCTCAAACCTTTGCTCCTTGTCTCTTGTGTCTGGATGGCCCCTTGATGTTTATACCACTGGATGGGCACTGTGCAGTGTGGAACATTCTGTCAATCAGCAGGTTGACAGAAATAAATATTTTGATATAGCCTAAATTATACATAATGAATTACAATTAGGGTTGTCAAAAAGGATAAAAAGTTAGATACTTATTAATACTAGTATCAAAATTAGATATTCTTTTGAACAGGTATCAATACAAAAAAATAAAACATTCCTAAATAGCTTTAGAATGATCTTGTGCTGTAACAGAACAAGTTTAAGAGCACAGAGACTAAAACAAATAGACACATAGACTCGGAATTTGTGACGAATTGTAAACTTCAGTGTCAAAGCAAATGAATAAAAAGTGCAACCTTTAGTACACGTCCAAATTACTTTCAACATGAAATTTGGATCTAAAGGATAATTATATTTGGTCAGAGGTGGTGGGTTTCCATGTGTTTGCTTTGCTTTGCTAGTCATTTGAGATGGAATAATAATCAGTCATATTCTCCCTGTCCAAACGCAAGGGCATGAGCCTCACAGCCCCAAACGACAAAACCTATCACAGGGGCTTGTTAGGACTGTTTTAAAGGCTGACACATTCTCCACTAAGTCTCCAGTTTAGCTCTGAATGACCCCTGACCAAGGTGATCTCACCAAGTCCAGCAATACTGAGTCTCCTCCCAAACACAAAGGTGGCAGGGGCCAGAAAGAAGAAGGGTAATTCACCAAGTAGCCATGAGTATGTCCTTTCTGAACAGTGTCTGAAAGAACATTGTTTGTGCTTGTGTCTGTTATATAGATAAACTATGACACTTGTGGATCATTATGGTAAATGCACATTTTAAAGCACAATATTCATCTAAAACCACTTAATAAAAGAAACAAGTCTGCAAACTTCTCCATTCATCACAACAAAGAGTTGCTGTTACTGATTTGTTGGGGGTGATGTGTAAATGGCTCATAATGCACATGCCACATGAAAGCGTCCAGTTTAACAGACCTCTGCAGACCTGTCCCAGGGCCTCTAGGGAGCTGTCTAAATCAAATGTTAACATTCTTATGTTCTTTATTAAAGCTGGGTCGTTGCGAGGCACGCCCACATCGCCCCATGTTGACATATCTGCGCCAACAGACCCACAACACCGGCCACTCCTGTGGATAGCTGCACGTTATGTTAGTGGCAGCAGATTTTAAAAACATTTATAGACCAAAATGACGAAGCGATGTTGCTGAATCGTACACATATTACTCATTAATAAAATAAAATTGGAGAACAAAGTGAGCACAGAGCAGTGGTTGTATGCTGCTGGTGGTGAAAACAGGGATTGATCAACAAAATGGCATCTTGAAAATAAGCGATTAAAGATTTTTCAAACATGTATAAATCACTCCACATTCAACTTCATGAGGGTAAATGACAAGGGCAAACAGCTATAACCTGGTTGAAAACTCTATTATTATTTTGAATAATAAGTCTGCTAAGTTATTGATGTATGTATTTATTTGTATTATTTATTATTAGTATTTTTGTTTATTTTATTTTATTTTTATTTTTAAAAAAAAACATGAAAACCAGACTAGTTTATTTTAAACAGTTAGCAGTGGTCCAAAGTTACGTCTCATTTGCCTTATGTATGCCGAGCATCCGAATTCTTCACCACATTGAATGTATATGTGCCTTACTGTGGAGCATTGATATTAAGGCTTAATATTACACACGTCCAAATCTAGATGTGTGCAAACGAGTATCTACTTTCAATACTATCTGGGTATCAGTCAGGTTTGTACTTTTACACAGCACAACTCTGATTGTGTTGTACAGTAAACACAGGTATCAATCCTAGTACTAAACTGAGTGTGCAAACAGGGTGCACACTGAAAATGAAACTGTGTATAATTGCTCCTGCATGTGCTTCTGCTGCTCCTTCTATAATAATATCTTTAAGTGCCTGTTTACAGTCGCCTATAGCCACAAACAAGATAAATAAATGAATATGACTGAGAATAAATGAAATCAAGCCTCTTCTGTGCACAGTCTCGACTTTCAAAGGCTTGATATTAGGGAGATAGAGAGTCTGGCTGTCATTAAAACATTTAATATTTCAAAGCTAACAGGTTTATACAGTGACAGTCTAGCCCTGAGCATTTCAGGTAAAGTGTGTTATTTTCAATACTGCTTCTGTCTTCAAAACCACACATCATTATTTTAACTTTGTATGTTGAGCTCATTTTAAAGTATTGTATAGTATTTATAAAGCCTCTTTGGTTCACAAATTGCAGCAGTTACCTTCTTGTCAAATGTGTTAAATGTTCGTTCTGTTTCTTCTCTTGGAGTCAAAATAAAAATAAGGCTGTGCCCGTCAAATAATCATGAGCATTGTGTCAAAATTTAGCACACTCTATCCATCTTGTGCGAATGTAAATGTAGGTAAACCACTGTTGTTGTTCATCTACTGAGTGCTACACTAGAGTGTGCCTCCAGTGAATGTATAAGGACATAAAAAAGTAGCATTTTAGATGGAGTAAAAATAATTTTAATAGAATGAAATACAATAATGAGTAAAAAAACAGCTACTATTTAAGTGATTAAATTATTAGATTAAATTAGAGTAGTCAAAATCAAATCAGGTACTAATTAATACTAAAAGTAGCACTGAAAGTAGATACTCATTTAAGTATTGAGCAAGTCACATTCACAGGACAGAAATGAACCTTTCTTGAATCGCTTTAGATATGTCATGAGCTGTATCAGAAGTGGAAGACCACATAGACTAGTATACAACCATGGACCATTTTGGAACCTACATGGATGCACGAGAAATTACACAGATATAAAATGACATGGTAATATCAAACAGTATATATTTTTAAATACTGAAAGTTACATTCTATAAGGAGTATCAGAATCCAAACTCAGTATTAAATCTTATTGTTTAGTATTGAAATTGAGTCTGAAATGTTAGTATTGTGACAACATTACATAAAATTCAAGAGTTCTGCTTGGTTCTAGATATGTACTAACGAGACACAGCACTTAAAGTACTTGACAGTACATACACAACAGTGTAAGTAGCTGTAACCAGAGCTGCAACCCAGAACAGTCCTCACCACTACTGAAGACCACACCACCGAGCCAGGCTTAGGGAGTGAGCTCACACAAGTTACTCAGCCTTTCCATTCTCCGGTCAGCACAAGCTAAAGCAGGCAACTGTGTGGAAAACAGAAGTGCACGGCTAGACAGTGTCTCTAATACTGGAGGAGAATGGCTTTCAATGCCATATTCTGGATACAATGTTTAAGCTACAGTGATTTTCACGACTAGGAGTACGAGGCCATTCCTTAACCCTACAGATTGTCCAACTTCTCCAAGGTGACACATCCAGATGTGCCATTGCAAGGAGATTTAATGTATCTCCCAGCACAATCTCCAGAACATGGAGGAGATTTCAGGAGACAGACTCTAGGAGAGCTGGACAGGCCTATAGAAGATCCTCAACCATCAGCGTGACCCATATCTGCTCCTTTGTGCAGGAGGAACAGGCTCTACAGAATGACCTCCAGCAGGACACTGCTGTGAATGTCTCTGCACAGAAACAGACATCATGAGGGTGGCTTGAAGACACCATGTCCTGTAGTGGGCACTGTCCTCACCCCCCAGCATCATGGAGCTCAGCTGACATTTGCTAAACAACACCAGAAACGGCAAGTCCACCACTGGTGCCGTGTACTTTTCACAGTTGAGAGCAGGTTCACCCTGAGCTCCTGTGATAGATGAGCAATTTGGTGGTGGGTCAGTGATGGTCTGGGGAGGCATATCCATGGAGGGACACACGGACCTCTTGTGATATCCCACAAGGGTGTGACAGGGGCCGGATTGGTGTCTGGACGCCGGTTTGTGGTCCGTAGGTTTGCGAGTCTGAACTCCATGGGCCAGGGAGGCTGGGTTCAAGAAGCCATGTCTGCCGGAGGCCGGCCTCTGCTTGGGGGGATAGGGACTGGCTTAAGCCATCCGTATCCTGTAGAGGGGCTCCGTGGGAAGGCCACTGGGTGACGGTGCATCTCGGCCTTGCTTCTGAGAGATCTTATATGCGGGAGAGTGTCAGCATCCCCGAGCCGCGTGCAGTCAAACCCACTGTGATATATGTCAGTTGGACCAGTTTTGGTTGGTTTGCAAGTGAGATGAGATGGTGCTGCATCACAAATAGTACAGAAACAACAACAAAGTAGAAATTGCGGTGGCCCATTGGCCAGAGGAAAGTCCCTACATGATCTGTTACTTGTCAACAAAAGTTAAGATGCAGCAGATTTTAGCGATATCTGGATGTTTGGATTTTACAAATAAATCTGACAGATGCTCTGCACATCAGGCACAGCTGATTAACCACAGTTATTACGACTTTATTACCACTGTCTGAGGAATAAAGGCGCGGATCAAGGTAACACAAGACTGTACAGGACAGCAGAGCACTATACTAGAATAAATCTCTGTAAATGTTGTGAGGATTATACACAGCTCTTTACTTTACAAGTCTGTGCAACTGATGAGCTTCAACTCCAACTCCTGTTTTGTAGTGATCTGTCCCAGAAACTGTGATATATATGTAAATATGAAACTAACAGTGATCATAATAATCTCCTAATCTCCTTTACGAGCATCTTGTCATGGCCTATTTCTCCCGTTTTGATTGTTATTCTGGGATTTATTTTTGTTCATGCTCAGCCTGCTATGAAAGCTTGCTTAGATCAAAACGTCCCTGTTGGGCCGGATCGAGACAGTGAAACTGGTCCGCTTTCACACCAGGTCAAACAAAAGGAACTCACAGGTGTTCTGAACTCAAGTCTGCTTGAAGTGGACCAAATGGTGTAGGTGTGAAATCCCCCTTAGCATAGCACTGTAGGCCACTCTCTGTAAACTAGGTTGTTCATCACCCACAGATGTGCCGTGTAGCAAGGTGCAGTGTGCCCCAAACAACACATATAGATCTGATTGAACCATATTGGTTTTAAGATAACCCAACTGCTCAGATACAGTATTGCTGAAGGCTTGGTGTTCCCTGTCAAGGACACACATTCTTAGTTCAAAGAAAAAAATATTGTAGGCTCATTAGGTTGGAGCTATTGACAAACTAGTTCTACAGGAAGGAGGCAAAAACAAAGTATTCCCTTGAGCTGGTGCATGAGGAGGTAACACGTCCTCTAAATCTGTGCTGAAGTCAGAGTGTAACTTGAGTTAAGAGGTTGCATCCAGTCAACCACAAAGAAATGGCTGTGTATTGGCAGGTTATCAGTGGTGGGAAGAGTAGTCAAAAATTTTACTCAAGTAAGAGTAACATTACTTCAAAATAATATTACTGAAGCAGAGGTACAAAGTAGTGGTCCAAGAAATTACTCAAGTAAGAGTAACAGCAAAAAATAATTTGAGAAAACTACCACTCAAGTATAACTTAAAGAGTACCTATCAGGACGTAACAACTGATTTATCATTTTTGAATTTGATGTAATTTGAAGGACAAAACATGCACAAAATCTTGGTGTTCAAAGGATCTACCACAAAATCAAAACCAAAAAGGAGCGGTGCAAGAAACACAAATGTTCAAATCATTTCATATTGTCAACATAAAGCTTCTGTCACTTGTAGACACACACACACTCACAGTGGGATGAGAAACCAAAATGTTTTACTCAAGTGAGAGTAGTGCTACTTCAATTAAAATATTACTCAAGTAGGAGTAAATGAGTAAACATAGGAATTACTCAAGTAAATATAACTACCCACCTCTGCAGGTTGTCTCAGTGTTACTCATTAAACAGAAAATGTAGAATTGTGAACCTTAAAAGTTCCCCTATGTTCACAATTCTGCTTTTTATATGTTGTGTTTGCTTGTCTCTATGGAGATGTTATTGCTTTGCCGGGCATGTTCCACTGTACGGCATTACCGCTCTCCATGGAGAAAAGCAGGTCATGTTAGATCTTTGGAGAGGCACCCACACTTATTTAAGAATGTATGTTTTGTCATGAAAACATTTGAATTGAATCCTGAACAAATGAAAAATAAAAAATAAATAAATAAATAAATAAATAAATACATACATACATAAATAAATAAATGCCATACTGTGGAACATTCCGGGAAAAGTAAAAATATAAAGCTGGTGATGGACTCCCCACCTGAAAGGCGTATTTTTAACAGGTGTATTTTTTTTTCCTTGATTGTATATTATTATATTTATTAACACAGACAATATACTTCTATTTTAATGTGACATATCTCAACCCCAACTGTATAAAAATCCTAAACAAATAACACGGTATGGAAGATTGTGTTAGTGATTGTGTCCAGTGTGTACAGTGCAGAGGAGGTACCTGGTCAAAAAGCTGTTTGCCGGTGGTGCTGGGCTGGATGGCAAACTCCAGCTCTGCGTCCACAGTGGTGACACGCACGTTGACCTGTGGAGCCAAAACAGGAAAAAGGATCAACACGAGAACAGACAAGAGGCAGAGGGCAGCAGCTAACGGCCTCCCACTGACTTGTGGCTTGTATTTCTCTAGACTGGAACAAATTACATCCATCGTTTTGAGTCACATGACCTTTACCATGGTGACATACAACACACACACACAACTAAAGGAAAAATACAAAATGGAATAAACGTCATATAAATAGACTGTGATCCATACAAGGCGTTTGTTTCTCAGCATAAGAGGTGAGTTTCATTAAATGACTGGTAACTTTAGCTTGTGACTTTACAGATTACTGAGGTTAGGCTATTTGAAGAGGACTAGTTAAAGAATACAAATCAGCTCACTTGTAGTTGCAAGTGAGCCACTGTGCTAGAACAAAACAAGTCTAACTTTGGGTTCTCCTCCAAATCTTAGAATAGAAATGTGCTCCTTTCCCCCAAGGAATATTCAACAATATTCTATGAAATCTTTCAATAGAAAGGTTCACAAATGATCAGCCAAAGTAACAATCAGCCTTTACCTTAGTTATTATATTTGTAACTTGTTCTGCACTTTACAGGCTCGACGGTCCCTCTGACCAATCACAACACATCCAGACTAGACAAGGTGGGTTAAACGTCGTGCCTGATGACAACACCCAAACTAGAGGGAACTGATCCTCCAACCTTCTGTTTGGTGGAGTTTGGAGTTATTAAAGAACAATGACCTTCTACATGTCGATATTTTAAAACTGAGTTGGAGAAAAGAGATTAAATGACATACAATTACGTGGTAAATCTGTGGACTCAATCCCAGACAAAAAAATGATCAGCTTCAAAGTATGGATATTTCAATCAAATACACCATGTAATTTCTTAGGCCATTGCCCCATCACAATTTATAAATTATAATATTATGTTGTAGAATGTTGTGAATGCAAACTACTGAGCATTCTTTTTCAAATACCTGATCCATAATTTCCAATAAAAGCGTGTGGATGTAAAACCCGCCCCTTTGCCTGGCGTGTTTGCACTGTAAACAAGGAGGCCCGCACACAGAGCCGACTGAAGCCATGACAGCGGAGAGTGTGGGGAGTGTGGGGAGTGTGGGGAGTGGGGGCTGGGCATGTCAAACACACTCACTTTAACACACAATTATTCATTCATAAATACAGGCGTTTGGGTTCAAATATTTGACACTCCATAGATAACATTAAAAGGACAAAATAATATTACTCATACTGAAGTAGAAGTATAAAGTAGCAGCCCAAGAAATGACTCCAGTAAGAGTGAAAGTGTACATGGAGAAGCTTCTGCTCAGGTAAGCGTGAGGGTAACTGTTGGGACATTGTAAACTGCTTCATAACTCAGGTGATTAGATGTGCAGTAGTTATTAGTAGGAATGCACGCAGTTGTGTTGTGATAGCGCTCTGAACGGGGAGTGACGTTGGTAGGGAGTGTGGCGGGAGGGGCCTCGGAGGGTCAAAAACAAAACTGAAACTTCTTAATGTGATGTTTTCGAAGAATATCGCATTTTCAAAACAATAAAAGGTAACATGGTAATCTAAATATATTACGTGTTAAGACTTAAACCATAGCATAGTCATATCCCTAGTTTAAATACTGCACAGAATTTGGTCTTTTCAAAGGATAAACGACAAAAGGAGAAAACTACCTCATACTGATTCACGTGAAGGAACACATCTAATCTAGAACATCATCTCAACTACAAGTAAAAGAATGTAGTTTTAAAACCACTCTGGGCAGAACAATTATGTTAAAAGGTTACTCAAGTAAAAATAATTGAATACTACACACCTCTGATAACTAAGGACCCTGGAGAATTTCGTAGTTCAGGCTGGTAAATTGAAAAGACAAGCATTTACAAAACCATTATAAAAAAAAATATGTAGAGATTAAGATTAAAGAGTAAATCATTAAACAGACCATCAGCCAAAACAATAAAACATTTAAACAAGAGGATCAACTCCATGGTGTAGTTATTCCACTATAATCTCTGGACAATAACTCAGTTTCATCCATACTCATTTGAAGAGTGAATCTTTCATTTAAAGGCTCGTGCATACATTGTGCATCTTAGATTACCAATTTAAACTGTTGTTCACTTTGAATATATTAAAATTTTTTGTTACTAGTTTGACCTGTTTGGTTTAGTATATCATTTTATATTCTGGATGGGCATAAGCTGCAGATGCTCTTGGACAGGATTTTGTATATGGGCCCGGTCAAGCAGAAGTAAACAGCAAGGCCAAAAATTCAAGTTAATGCATCTGATATAAAAATTTATTCAACAGATAGCATATGTACTCTAGTTTATGAAACTGTTGACCTTTTTTCTGTACCATTTTTGGTTCTAAAGTTCCATACGTTTTAAACAGACCATGTATGAAACATGGAACAAATATTATTTGCCAAATTTCAAAGATCTGCAAATCATGTAAATAAATGGATGTATTTCATCATATCTTGTGTTATTCCATCTTTGAACTGTTGGTGAAGGTACATGATTTAAAAAAAAAAAAAATTATTTAAAATGATAAAAATTTGCTTGGAAGGACTGACAGATTTTATAGAAATAGTTTCCTTTCATTTTGAAGTAATATTAAAGTATTCAGAAGAAAAAAGTTGACAAATTATGTAAAATCATGCACCTTCTACTTGTTTGCACAATTTTCCCTCCGTTACTTTTCCCTCCGTTGCCATGACCTTTCTTAATAAAAAATCTCATTACTCAAAAAGTAAGAGGTTTTTCAACCTAATCTCGAACCATATGGTAGAAAACTATATGAAGCAAATATTCAAACCAGTTTGTTAAGGATATGTAAGTGAGAACCACTAGTTATCACTGTTTGGATTTATTGCCCAGAAAGTGCTGCATATTTCATTCCCTCCTTTACCCACATGAGTTTTTAAATTTTTTGCCAACAACTTGAAAGAATATCACAGGTTTAACTTTACCCTGTTGGAGTGTTAACTCTTTCCTACATTCTGATACTTTACTTATTTCAGTAGTCCCTCTAGTTTCTGAATAAGAGCTATTTGAATGTCAAAAATCTGCCCGTTTCCCTCCGTTACCACTTGACCGGACCCATATTGAAGACACTGATATAAGAACTCAGCTTCCCATTTAGTTTTGTTTTGTTTTGATCAAGGTCATATGTACTTCAATTAAAACCTCCTGCACATAGCACACATACAACAACAGTGATCACCTACTCCAGTTTATCTCCAGAGCCTGACATCCATTCACTCCCATGGAACCCAAACCTATTATGTCTGCGTGAATCACTGTTCAAAGCACAGAAAGGGAGAGGCTTTACAAACGTGGAGCCGCCCCAGTGATTAATACATCATTTCACAATCATAGACCAGCAGAATAACTACTGCACTGATGACAATGGCCACAATTGACGTCAACTCTGTCCTCAATTTCTCCATATTAGATTGAAGTATATGAATCAGTCAACAAAGCATGGTTGGAGAGAATATATGGAAAACAGGAGTCACTCTGTAAAGTTTATTGTGGGTACATTCTCTGTAGTTTTAGGTTTACATCTCTCCTACAGGTGGACCATGTACCGTCATTTCCAGTATATCGAGCACATCTGAATATAAGCCGCATCACTAAAGTCGAAGGTCGCCGTCGTTTTTGAATTATGGAACTGCGTCAGGGTCTATGCACCGCAAAGTAATTCTCTGCCACAACACGAGGAAGCGCGTTCCCTTGCTTGTCTGTGTTGTTCCGACACATAGTTAGAACATTTCGGAGGTGCACATCAGTCGACACAGTTGCTCTGAGGAGGGGGTTCAAGGCGACGCAGACTCTCTGCATTGTGACGCAGACGATTTGATGCATGACCGTAAATTGGGCTGAAAGCTTCGACGCATCACCTCCGTCTCTTCCCATGCTCTACTGTGCATGTCTCCTGCAGAGAGAGTGTCTGTCCTGTCTGTATCATGTCAGTGTCTTGGAGGATTTCAGCAGATTTCAGGCTCTCTTGGGGGCGGGGCTAGTTGTGTTGATCAGGTATGAGTGGATGTCCGGCTACTGAAGTTTGAGACGTATCTTCTTGTCATTTCCACACTCACCTGCATTTAACGCATACAGGTTATTAAGACGAATCCCACTCACTAATGTTCATTTAGCATCATAACTTATTTTATCACAGAGCAATAAACTGTTTTAGTGCTCACAACATCACTAGCTCATGTTGTAACTTCATGTTAATCGCACAGACAGCAGTGCTTTCTGCACTCAGGCTGCGCATGCATCTGCTGTGTTGCCAAACCATATGGAACCATTGTTCATATAAATGGACAATGTGCCAAACAAATAATCCATCCATATATTAGCCGCATGGTTGATTAAGCCGCTGTGTTCAAAGTGTGAGAAAAAAGTAGCAGCTTATAGTCAGGAAATGAGGGTAACTTTTCTGATGTACGTCCTGTATCTACTTGTAGAGCCATTGTCGACTAAACTAGAAAAATTCTTGGTCAACTAAAGGCACGCCCATCGATTGATTAGTTTACTAAAAAACTACTATGATATTACCATGTATCTGACCAAAACTGCACTCAAAACTACAATATTTGTGCCAATAACTAAACTTAAATCATTCATTTTCAGTGTACATCAAAACATTATTAGTTTTCTGCAAAAGCTACATTTTACAAAATGATGCAGTCCCTATTAAAACTGTACTAAATAAATCTCATTGTACAGTTGATGTATTTGACCTCATCTCAAAACTGTATGTACCTCACTTTTCCAATACTTCATTTTAAATGGCATCATAGTGTGCTGAGTATTGACTGGAGTTATTGAAAAGCGTTGGACACATCGCTCATCCCCTGTACATTTCCTTGAGTGTACAACTGCTCACGGTCTCCAGTGGAAAAACAAACATGAAATAATAAAAGACCTGACAGGACTTTTGCCTTATATGTCTCCTTTAGCGTACTGCATTTTCAGATGGTGTCTGTTGG